GGATTTTTCCGCTGTGCAAGGAGCCTGCTCCTAGCTGCAGCCCTGGCAGAGCTCCACAGCAACATGTCTGCCGACCTCTGAACCATATCCCCCCTCCGTTTTCTTTGAGTGTTATGTATGTAGAATACTGCTTCTCAAGCAGGTTATTTTCAGAAACATTTTGAATTCTTTTCTCCGTTGAATGATCACATGCCTCTCTAGTTAAAGTGAATAGATGCTTGTCTTCAGCAAATTAAACCAAAACTAGTAAGATGCACAGTCTTTGCCAGTCTATTTGATTTGTTCGTATGGGCATACGTATTCATCCATAGCAATTTTCATAATGTAGGTTGGAACTTAATAGCTTTATGAATTTTACTCTAATGTACTGTGTCCTAAAAAAGCAGACCTTGAGGCTTTTTTTTTTCAAATTAAACAAAATTGAAATGTTTGATATTACAGCTTCATCACAGTGCTATACGTAGCAATTTACAGTTGGCTACTGCCATTTCACTGCCTTTTATATTGGCATTACTTTTAATGGAAGGAAGATTCCCAGATGCTAGTTAATTTCGGATACAGAGCGACCGGATAAAATTACAGGCCAATTATCTTCGAATGGGTGTAGTGCTTCCAGAACACAGCTGCAGTGCTGAAGTTGGGCAGGTGAGGGCAGCGTTGGCATTCGCGTTCTCCTGCTGCTGCATTCCGGTGGTCTTTGGCCTCCCCTGGGAAGGGGGATGGCGAGAAGAAAAGCGAAGAGCTGTTTAGGTGAACAACAGAGCATGTTTTCCAAAAAAAAACGCACCGGTGCTTATTTCTATTCTGTTAATTAGCTTAAGTTATGTATTAATTTATTATTATGTATTTTTTCTGTCTGTGCCCTCCAGCCTATGGATCACAGCTCCAGTCGGATGTCTTTCTATGTCGAAGGAACAAATGACATGCCAAGTGTTTGTGCAAGCCCAAGACCAACCAATAAAAAGGTAGCCTACCACTAAGTGTGAGGAAGCACTGAAATAGAGCCTGGAGCTTCCTGAGACGGTGCTGGTAATTAGTGCTTCTAAATGAGGAGAGGGGAGAGAGAAAACAAAACAACAACCAGCTATATTGAACAATGAGTTTGTGATGGAATATGGAATCAGTGGGTAAATATGACCCAAATTTTTCTGCATCTGTTCCAGAGGCTTTAGATTCTTTTTCCAGGGCAGATTTAGACAAGTAGCAGCCTGCCTGGATCCTCCCTTTGCTCTCTTTCTCAAGTTATTGTGGCCTCTGTCTTTTTTCCACTGCTGTTTACCCTTGGATACCTGCCTTTACATGTTACAGTAGGCTGAATTCAGAAATGTTTGCTATCTCTTTCTTCTGTAAAGAATGTTTTTCTTTTCCCCTTTTGGTAGCTCTTAGAGCCAAGAAATTTCATCCTATCTTGAGTATGTATTCCCAAATAGCTTTTTAACAACATACAAGATACCATATCACATAGATAATTTTTCCAGAGCTGTATCTTGTATTTGGCATTGATTAGCAACAGTGACTTTGGATGAAGAAGCAGGGGAAAAAAGCTGCAATGAGCAGTTCAGAATCTGAGTTAGTTAAGAAACTCTCCTTTCTTACCTTGTTTATTTGTTTGATTTCTACCAAAAAAACATGGATGTTTATACCCGATCTGAATATTAGATGGATTAATATGCCCTATTAAATGTAATATGCTTAAGAATCTCGTTAGCTTTATTGTTTATGTCAGGAATAGACATTGCAATAATTTTTTAGTCTAGATTTGAGTTCCCTAAAAGTTTAGATCATTGGGATTGGGTGTCATATGGTCAACTCTCACTGCAAAGAGTATTGTTTCCAACTACAAACTGCTTTACAAGCTCTACTGTGGTTATTACTGTGTCCTTCTCTCCCACCACAAAGACAATCTTGCTTCTACCTTCTCTCAAAAAACATGAATGTGCTAAATGGAAATGCTTAATGGGGGGTGGGGAAACGTGATTGCTCCCTGTCATGCACACAGCCAGTGGCCTGAGGATAGACCCCAGTTTAGTTACACAGCGTCTGGATCCACAGAAAAATGGGTCCCAAAGCCTGTTTGCCACTAACATTCCTTATATGTCATTTGATCAAATCTGCCTTCTGATCCTACACATCCCCATCCAGCTTCTGACTCCCAGTATGGGGGAGTTTCCCACAGGGAAGAGGGGAGATGTTGAAACTGGAAGATGAGTGGTTTGAAAAGCCATTTCCCAACACTCTGTGTTTGTTACCTAGCATTTCCATGAGGAGCTGGCACTGCAGATGGTGGTCAGCACAGGTATGGTGAGAGAATCTGTCTTCAAGTATGCCTGGTTCTTCTTTGAGCTCCTGGTAAGATTTGACAGTGGTATTTTAAAGTAAGTTAATAGTAAAATGTAGCAGGTACTCCAGACACAGATTTAGTTGGATGGTGATCCCTTCAGTTATTCAGCCTCTGTGTGAAAAGGAGAGATATCAAATAACAGAATTACAACTAAAGGGTTCTCCATATTCACCCCCATTCCCCACTGACAGCCTGTGATGCAAAGTCTTGCGTGCAGTAGATGAACACTGGTCCACCATTTGCAGAAGGCTGACAGACAGACATCAAACTGAGCCTGCCCTTTTCTATGAATACCTGTTTCTGTCTTTTCCACTTTGTTAACAACATGGGAGCAGTGACAAGGCTCCCCAAACTCGCAGTTTCACAGAGCCCCGAGGTGATGGATGTCAGTGGAAAAAACATACTGATTTCCACTAGCAGCATATAAGCAACCCAACATCAGGTCAAGAAACAAGAATTAACTCCAGAGTTATCACTCTCTGTCTGTCATCATGAAGGGCAAATGTTGCAAATAGCAGCATTTCAGAGCTGCAAATGGAAGGGCCTGGGGAAAGTGATTCTGATTTCAGGTGCTGGGAGTAGCCAACTGCATGGACATGAACAGGAATCAGTGTCTGTCCGTGTTTGAGTCTTAGACTCTCTGTTGTCATTGCCAGTACATGTAGGATTTATCACAGCAGCTCTGAGAAAACAAGAGTGATTACATTCAGGGAAAAACAAGTAGGGAACCTTACTCCTATGGACTAACTTAAAGCAGTAGTTTTACCTCCAGTTTGGTCATTTTTTAGATTTTTTTTTTTTTCTGCTTTGCAGATAAAGAGTATGGCTCAATATGTTCATAACATAGAGAAGCAAGACAATCCACGAAGAAGCCGGTTCTCCGATCGCTTCAAAGATGATATTACCACTATAGTTAGTGTGGTTACTTCAGAGATTGCTGCACTTTTAGTCAAACCACAGAAGGTAAGTGCATGAAATAAGCACCATGAATCTTTGCTGCTCACCCTGTGTTACACTGAGCTGTATTTAATCCCATTTCAGCTTCAGCTGTGTCACCAGGATTAGGCCAAAACTGAGGCAGTATTCTCACATGGACCTGAAGCGAGAGTTGTGGCTGTGCAAGAGGCAGCCTTGTGCTCCCCTGGCAGACGGTTTGTTTTTATTCAGCTCAGCTCCTAGACTGCTTCTCAGTGTGGCTGCAAGGTGCAGGGAGGGAATCACCTTTCCCGTCAACAAGCAAGTTTGGACACCCATTTTCAGTGGCAGTGATGCTTTATGCCAGGGTAGCCAGGGCATCAAACTGCAGCCCAAGCAGGCCTTATTCCTTTTATCCTGCTTCCCTGTTACACTCATTTCTACTGCATAGTCTTTTATTCCACATTTGACTTCTCTGACAGTAGTGGGCTATGCAATATGAAGGTGGATTTCCTCCTGAGAGTTGCAAATTCCAGCCATGAGTGATCTAACCCCAGATCTCTTGAAAGAGGCACTGGCCACATGAAAATTATAGACAAGATAGAAGCCCTAAATCCCATTAAATTCTTTCTCCTGATATATTTTTAAAAGTTGCACTGGTGTAACAGATTATAAAGTTGAAAAGATCACAAAATGTAATTTTTATTTGAACATCAATACTGTCAGCTTATATCACTGATGTCTTTCTGCACTGATGAATAGACAAAGTTAAGGCTACAGATAGGCGCTGGGTGGCTGTTGTTCATTCAATTGTTACGACCAACTTGTCTTCATGCCAAATGCACTGCGCTAGTCCAGCAGTGTGCTCTGCCACAGGGCAGACCAGGATGGAGGGCTGGCCTGATGGGTCAATTTTCAACCAGCTCAGTTTCCTGATCCACTTCTCTGTGTGTGCCTCACTGTGTTATTGAGGAGCAGAAACTGGGAAAGAGCCAAGACCTGACAACTGAGTACAGTGAATGGCAGAAGTGATTGTCACCATCCACCAAAAGTTGTTCCTGAAGCTTTACTCTTTGCTCAGTCCTTTGGTGTGCTTCCATGACAGCCATGTAGAGAAATAGTTTCCACAGAAATGTTTGCTTAAGGCGTCAGTGACACTTTTTTTAAAATACATTGTGTAATAAAAAATTTGTTACATTAAAAATGTTTTCATGGAACTGTAGGTTTTGCAAAGATTAGTATTTTATGGTTTTCTCATGAAAAATACACAGGTGTTTATGGGCTGTTAATTCAATTCAATTTTGATAAAGTGAATGTGTAGAACCTGGTTATGTGTGAAAATTCCACTTCAGTGTTTGCAGAATTAGGGCCATTGTTTAGTTGTACAGAGCAGCAGTTGGTAATGTGTGTCTGATTTAAAAATCTAAGCAGTAATGATCCATGTTTCAATACATGGTTGAGCGTGTCAAATTGCCCTGCGTGGCATAAGTGGTATGTCTGGCATATTTTAGCCTACCCAGTAAGGCAGTGGGAAACTAATTTTTTCTTCACAGTAGAAAAATGTTTTGCTGTGTAAATTCCAGATCATTGGAAATACATACATATTCCTGAACAGCAACAAAAAGGTTGAAAAGTGAAAAATGAAATCATAACCCCCCTGAGGTGCTGCACACCTGTTCTTACTAGTCAGAGGCACCGGTAGGGACAACATTTTTCTCAGTCATCTCCTCTGTCAGTCTTGAGTGAATCCATCTGAGGGATCTGAGCATTAAATGTGTGTGGATCCCTCAGGCACCTCCACCAATTCCTCTTGGTGAACTACATATGCTACTGAGATTTTATGATTTAAATTGGTATGTTTGAAGTAACTGTAGCCTTAATTTAGAGGGCTTGTGAAGTTCTTTGTAATTTTTACTTGGGAGCTACATATCTCTGGTAATTGGGCCAATTCTAAGCATGCAAGAGCTTAGCTGCTGAATGGTAAAAGCCAGAGATTTATCTTACCAGTATTTTTTTACTATCAGTTTTACACTTAAAATTTCTACAAAAAATACTTGGCATTCTATCAGCAGAGCCAGTGCAGATTTTTATTAATATTTTAAAACAATATATTATGTTTTAAGTACTTAAACCAGCGTTCTCTAATGTTAAAGCTTCAATTAAAAAAAAAAAAAAAAAAGGGATATGCAGGATTACAGCCCATAAGGAATTCACAACAGGTCTCAAATTCCATTTAATTGTTGTCAGCCCAAAGGTTTGCATAGATAAACTTCTTCATTCATCCTGTGATGTTCCTCTGTGAAAGCTACAGCAGTTGAAATAATTTACAGTGAGTGATTATGTATAATTTTAACAACTTCACATAAATCAGAGAACCAAAACAATCTTGTCCAGTGTGTTTCATGAGATGGTTCTGGGAGCTGTCCCCTACCCTATTTTTTAATGATATTAAAAAGTCTTCCACCTTTATGTAAGTTTTATACATCATAACTGCAATTATTTTTTTCCCTTTTTTTTTTAAAGGAAAGTGAGCAAGCAGAAAAAATTAATATCAGCCTGGCATTTTTCTTGTATGATCTTCTTTCTTTAATGGACCGAGGATTTGTGTTTAATCTCATCAAACATTACTGTAATCAGGTAGGCATCATGCATGATTGGGATTACATTTGGCTTATGGCCAGTCCAGTGTTCTCTTCTGATTCATTTATCCATCCAGATCTTTTAAGTTGTGTCAAAGGGCCAGGTAAATTTCCTATTTCCTATTGCATATGCAGAGACTTTAAACCTCTTTTGATTTGTAGTCTGCAGAAAAAAAAATTGAGTGGAGTCTGGGACTCTTTTAGAAATGTCATACCTTGCACTGCTGCAGAGCATCCATGGAGCCACTTTGCTTCCCTTACTTTTTTACGTCTCTTATCAGCAGGCTCTGCAGACCATATAGAGCAGCTTTTGATGACTCTTCCAGTGCTGTGAGGACCATATTTAGATTTGGGGGAATCAATCAAAATGATCCATCTCTGTCTTCTTGCTTTACAAGCCTCCCAAAATTAAAAGTAAATGATGACGCAGGATGATATGAAATTATTTGTTGTATTTGAAGGGGAAAGTTTTCCTTCTGTTTTGTGACCTGATAGACCTGCCGTAGTTTTTCCTGCCAAAGGAAGGCCCTCTGTCAGCTGATGGTAGGAGAACACAAGGTGTTCTGGTTTCCTAGAGTATGTGCAATACTCCACTGATGTCATTGTATTGCTATGAAGGGAAATGACAAGACTACTGATGCTCTGTGTTGCCTAGGATCACTTTTTATGAGTTTGTCACAGACTCAGCAGTTTTGTTTGATGAATCTGTGTTATGCAAAAGGAAAAAAATATTGCATGTTTTTCCTTTGGGAGGAAAAAACCCAATTGATTCTCTCTTGGGAAGTTGGTAAGTCAGCTGAGGAGGGGGGAAAGAGACACCACCACTGCCAAACAAAGAGCAGCTAATGGATGGAAACTAGCCAGGTACAGGGAACCAATGAGCTTTTTAATGCATGCTGGGCTATTTGTCTGTTCCTCTTTCAGGAAGCAGGATATTTCACTGCATGGCATTTAAACAGTGCACACCCATCACATGACACTTTTTTGGTTACCTTTTCTAGCTCTCAAACAAGCTGAATTCACTCTCCACCCTGATTTCCATGAGACTGGAGTTCCTGAGAATTCTCTGCAGCCATGAGCATTACCTCAATCTGAACCTCTTCTTCATGACCTCTGCGTCTGCTCCAGCATCCCCCTCCCCCTCCTTATCCTCCCAGGTAGGCATCCATTAGCTGATACTGCATGAACATCACATGAAGCACACATGTAGGGGAAGCATTATGTTGCTCTGTATTCAGATGCTTAGGTTAGAATTAGCAGCTGTGAGATCAGGGAGAACAACTTTCCTCTTGAAAGAAAAGGGGCAGAAGAATAAAGACTAAGGGATTAGTACTGCAAAACTGCATCTACACAAGTTAAAACTTAACATGACACAGATATGTGCCCCTCTAGAAACACACAAACAGAAAATGACTGTTAAGGTAAACATACAAGGTCTAAAAGGAGCATGGCTCTGAAGGCTAGTTTACTGGCGAACCTGTGTCTTGTCTATACACAACCAGAAATAAGTATTTCAATATCTGTTTTGGAGTATTATGGCATACAGCAGTGGACAGAAAACTTTCTGTGCATTTGCCTTCTATCTGAACTTCTTGTTGTCCAAATGAACGTAAATGCTACCACTATGTAAGTTAGTGACTGAAGCACTGCAATTTTCAGTATCCTGAAATCATGGATTTCTGTTGAGCCTTAGTGTTTTTCAGAGCAGGATTATCGTGCTTTCCTTTTCAAAAAGCAGCATTCTTTGTTCTGGATTCCTCCCCACCCAAGTGGTACTATGCTCGACTATGGTAGATGCTATGCCTTTGTTAGTGATTTTTCTGTGTTTTCTGGACAGTGTTTTTGCTTTTATTTGAACTTTATGATTTTTCTGTGTGGAAACCCTTACATATGCTGAGTAGACCTCTTTACACAATTTTTGTAAATGTCCTTCCTCATCATTTCTCATTCTCCCAGGCTGTCATTCCCAGTACATGCACATTTTCCAAACTTGACCTGATACTGACACAGCTCTAGACTTCCTGAATGTCAGGACCTCCCATCCTGGGCATGGAGTTCACAAACACATTTAATAAAGAAATTGTTGTCTGGCACACCACACACTATTTTGGCAGTGTTGCGCTCTTCTCCTCTGCATTCAACTTAGATGGTATCTGGTTTTTACCATGGGGCAGACTCCCTAACAACGGGTGTTAGCCTGCCTGTTTTCCACCTCAGTGGTCTTGTACAGATCACGACTGGGATGAAGCACTTCAGTGCAATGCCCCATAATTGCTACAGGGATGGAACTGAAGCTAAGAATGGTGGGAGATACAAAAACACTTCAAGTAATGGAGCGCTTCAAATTCATGTTTTCTTTTTCAAGTGTCATTGCCAAAGAATTGGTTGGATGCTAAGACGTGCTACATCTCTTACCTTAAGGGTTCTGACAGATCACTAATAGTAAATAGTATTTTCTTGAAAATTTCCTGGTCTTAAAAGCAAAGCATGAAGGTCTTAAAGTCAGGATTTCCCAATAGTTTGCCATTAAGCAAATCCTGGATGCCAAATAACTAGAAATGGGACTCTTCTGGTTGAGGGGAAAAAAAGAAGTCAGCATAGCTTTTGCAGCTAGTTCTAGCAAGTCAGAGCTGGGCAGACACCAGTTCAATCATTCTTTCCTTCAAGCAACATTCTCAACTCTTTTTCTCCTTTAGGAGTAACCTATGAAGTGTAACCTGTGCAAATCCATAAGGCTTTTGTGGCCCTTGGATGATTTAATACATTAGCTGATGACCCTTGCAGTGATTTTGATCTGTCTGCAGGAGTGCTGCCCAGCTAGAGTTAGATTTCCACTAAGAAATGTGGCCTTGTGAATAAATCTTTCGCAATTCTTGGAGAGAAGCCAAATTCACTTAGCTGGGTGCTCTGCACTTTAATGTTATTCCACACAAAAATAGTACAGCCAGTGCCTATCTGCTTGAGATTGAATTGGGAGTGGGCTTAAGTACATGGCTCAAAATATGGGGCTGCTCAGAGACATGAGTTTCATTTGACCCAATATGCTGGAAGACAGATGCCACAATGTAGTACAGTACGCTGCTGCTTCATCTGTTTGTTTTCTGGGACTATTCCCAGGTGACTGACAGAAATATTGGGAGACAATATCAAAGAGTATAAATTAAAAGCAAAACATAAAGCCTAGTAGCTGCATTGGGAAGTAGAGTCTAAGACTTATGCTCACCCGATCAGGGGACAAAAACATTCCAGGTGACCTGTGGCACAGACCTACAATTGAAGAAGCTAAGAAGTTCACAACACATATATACCAGCAGCTTTCCATTCCTGGGCTGGCTGTATATCAGTCAGAGCTGTATGTTACAGCAGTTTGAAGACTGCTCTAAATTATGCCAGCTGCCAGCAAGCTCAGCCAAGGATTTCCAGGGTGAAAGGAAACACTTCACACATCTTCCTGACCTTACTTCCATGATAGACATCATGGATGCTGAAGAAGGCACAGTGTAGAGCTTCTGACACCAAGGTCTTTCTTCGTGTAGGGACAGCTATATGATGCCCAATGGCTGCTCTGCAACAGTAAGAGCAATGTAAAGGGTTGTAAACACGGAGAAAATTCTGCTTTGTGGCCTGTCCAAAGTAATGAATACAGGTAGGAATTTTATATCTCAAAAAATGTCAAATGAGCTGCTCGCACAGAATGGAAAGGGTGAGATTGCATCCTAGCAAACAACTCGTTTGAAACTAGATGCTTTTTATTTCACACTCAGATGTTTTCCTCCAAAATGTCCAACCTTCTTTCAAAGTCCGTGCTTTTCCTCTGGTAGAGATTTTCTGTTGGCTACATGGACTGTGAGTACAATGTCTTTAAGAAGCTTTGATTTCAGTGATCATTGTTTAACACTTCTAATACACTTCTGCAGAACTCTAGCTCCTGCTCTAGTTTCCAGGACCAGAAAATCGCTGGTATGTTTGACCTCTCAGCCGAATACCGTCAGCAGCACTTTCTAAGCGGCTTACTTTTCACTGAATTGGCAGCAGCACTGGACACAGACAGCGAGGGGTGGGTATCCCAATTTGCAGATTTTAGAATGGGATTGAGTCACACTATTACTCTTGGCAAGGTCATAGTTTGTTCCCAGGACAGTCCTGTTTCCCGTACTCTTTTCAGTGAGTCACCCTGTAACATAGCAATAACGCATTCATTGTTTCATCTGCAGTATGTTGGTCTCAGTGAATAAAAATACACTATTTGTTGCGGTAGTGTTGGCTAAATACATGAATTGAGAGCACAATTTAAAATTTCGGTTGCCCTTCTCTCTAAAAGACCTCTGCCTTTATCTGAGCTTAAGTGTTTAACTAGACTTTGGTCAGAGTCTGGTGCTTTTCTTTAATCACCTCGCTTCACCATATTGAATTTCTATGGGACATTTGAAAGACTTGGCTTTTTGATTGTGGTGAAATGGCTTGGGGATGTAAGTTAGCTATATTTTGCAGGGAACATAAGTCTTTACTCAGAATGGAAGAGATTATCATAAGAGATGAATATTTGTTTCTTTCACCTCCACTCTGTTTCTTAAATCTTGATTTATAAATAAATTGTACATGACCCATTAATGGAGCTCATGGACAGTTTTTGTGTTAACAGGATGAGCAGAGTGCAAAGGAAAGCTGTGAGTGCTATCCTTAGCCTGCTGAGTTCCCATGACCTAGACCCACGCTGCTCCAAAAAAGAGGTGAAGATTAAAATTGCAGCTCTCTACCTCCCTTTGGTTGGTATCATTTTGGATTCACTGGCACAACTCCATGATTTTACAAGTAAGACCTTTTTCCCTTTGTATTTTTCAGCTTCTTAGATTGCTTAGACAAGTCACTCTATCAAACATAAAAGAGACTGTGCTAAGTGCAGAAATTCCGCACAGTCTCGTAAGGCTGAATATTTCTTGCCTTAGAAGTAAACTGGATTTTTAAAAAGAAAAAACTTCAGTGTCCTCACTTCATGAGTAAGTGATAGACCAGAGTTGGTATCTATAAGTACTCCTGCCTATCTCTTAATGTAAATATTATGATCCTGCAAATAAAACCTGCTAGAAATAATGAGATGTAAGTAAGTTTAACAGACAGAAGGGAAGAAAACAGGAGTGATAGTGACACAATTAAAGAAATTGGATTGTATCCTTTCTGTCTTTTTCGATTACGCTTTAGTGCTATTAACATGATACCAAAATTAATCTCAGAGAAATGTAATCATCACACAGGAAATATCTTTTTATCATTTATTATAACTGTAAACTTTGCTCTACATTATCAAGCCTTCTAAAACAACATTAGATAAGCTGTTTCCTTGCATTTTGTTACACATGGTCATATGATACTGCTGAACGTAGCTATTTCACATTTTTTTGTAAGACAGTTGATCTCTGCTACTTGGAAAACTACATTTCACTTCCATAAATAGAATAAAGGCTATAAAGAAAAAAGGTGTAATCTTTGAAGAATATATTTTTCTCGCTGGTTCTGAAAATATTTTGCATTTAAATGTCTGGACAAAATACTGACAGTGTAATTTAGCACTTTCAGTCTAATAGGATGAAAGCATTTATTATACATTGGCTAAACAGATCTCACCCCATTTTTCTAACCTAAGTATTATCCTGTTATCACAGATGAAAAGGAGACATTAAGAGGAATCCTAGGTGTACCAGTATGGCTAGGTTAGAGTGTCTTTCTTTTTTAGTACCTGTCACAAGGGGCTGTTGACCTCGTTCTGAACAGACTGGGACTGGCTGGCCACTCAGCTTCTCTGAAAAACAGGACTTGCAAAACACAAAATGGACATTCAGAATCAGAGATTTTTACAGAACTTAGGTATAAATAATTTTGTTTGCTGAAACTGATGTCAAGAACTAGCGGGTAATAGAAGCAGCTAGATGCCTGAAATTAAACTTGTTCTTTAGCCAGCAGGCAATACTGGCTCTGTCAGCTGTTAGCAGACTTACTTACTTTGTTGAATATCACCAAACCCATATATGGTTTTGCATTGATCATCTTGCCTGAAATGGACTGGAACTGGATGGTTCCAAGTCCCATGAAGTGCTTGCTTAGCTTTGAACTTCAGGGACAACCTCACATTTGCTGCTGCCTTTGCTTTTAATTTAGCTTCTCTGAACACCTGGAGCTTGTTGGACAGATCTCCTTTCGCTGTGTTTATTTGAATGAGTTGGCAGCCTTTGCAGATGGCTGCAATCTGTCTTGCTAATGCTGCGCCTCTTTCACTGCTTGGTACATCAGCCAGACCAACAGTCTCAGAGGTGGAGGTGCCAATTGCTTTGTTAGGTTACAGCCTGATGGAAGATGTGTGAGTGGCAAAAACTGGACTGCTCCTGAAGTTCCAATGGAATATTTGAAATCTAGTTTCAGATGCCCGCAGTGGAAAGGGACGCACAGGAAACCCAGAAGAAGAACAAGAGTCTACAGGTGCAATCAGTCAAAACGTGGCCCTTGCCATTGCAGGGAATCAGTTCAACCTCAGGAGCTCTGGAATATCTCTGGTGTCTCTGGTATGTCCAGTGCTCTGCCAGTCTCCTTTCTTGTATCTGTCTTCCTCTTTCTTTGTTTTCTCCTTTTATCCTTTCTTGCTGCTAATAACTACAGTCATGAGAAATGGCATTCTTGTTTCCTCCAGTGCCGAATAATGCCTCATATTCTTCCTGTCATCTCCTCCTCTTCTCTTCTAGTCATTTAATTACTCCTTTACCATAAATAGTTGCACTTTTTCTCCCACATGCCTAGTTCCATTTCCACACCAACCTAGTCTCATTTCCAGATCAGCAAATGCCACTATGACTCCCCTACTGCCTCCTAGTCCCAGTCTCACTGAAGCCATGGATCTAGGACTCCAGATCCTTCTTTTTCTCTCTCTATCTCTTTCTTCATGGTTGTTTTTATCTTCTGTACAATTTGGCTGACACAACTGCATGGCAAGAGGGGGCCAAATAGTTACAGAATCTTTTTCTACATTATTCTAAGGAAAATAAAATATGATTATCTAGCAACAATGCTCTTGTGCTTCTTTCTGTCTTTCACATGCATGCAACTGGTCCTGTCATTAATTACACACACATACATTCAAAAAACACAATCAGTATAATCTGGAAGAGGTTTAACTTACTGAAGTCCAGTCCTGAGGTTTTATTTCACTGATATTTAAATAACATTACTTCATCTGAACGACCTCCCTCTTCTTTTTCTTCTTTCAGCTGACATTTACTTTATCTGCTCCTAGCCTTACAGACAGAGTGCCACATTAGGTCCTGATACTACTCGCAACCTTTTGATCTGTTTCCTCTGGATCATGAAAAATGCTGATCAGAATCTAATACAGAAATGGATTGCAGACCTCCCATCCATGCAGCTGAATAGGATTTTAGACCTCCTTTTCATTTGTGTCTCTTGCTTTGAGTACAAGGTAAGTGAAATGTGGCCTGATTTTGTTGTCCTGATTTGGTTTAATTTTTTTTTCCTTATCTTCTGTCTGTCCAGGGGAAATTTGTTATTGAGAATTGTTAAAATTAGCTCTTATCTAATATATGCTACAAATAGCCAAATTAATGCAGAAAAAATAACTGATATTAGCCTTCAAACAAAATGCAGCCAAAACCTTTGAGGAAGTCCTGTGAAGTTGACTTAAATTGTTTTATTATTTTCGTTTTCCTGGGGTTTTGAGGGCTGTTTTTGGTGGGCAATATATTGACAGCTCCTTTAAGTACTGGACAGGACACTGAGGATGACCCTTCAGTGAAGAGCTGGGACTAGACATCAGAACTCACCACTCTGATGGGTCTGTCTGAAATGAATCAAATAACCTTCTCTTTAAACTTTAGTTTCTCTCTCTGTAGCACTGAGCTAAATATTTGTGTTTATTAGCAGTACATATACTACCTCTTTCGTCATCTGTGACATTTAATTAGCCTTCATATATTAGTCAGTCATATTCATTACTTTCTGACCCCTCTGCAGGTCTCTCCTGTTGTGTCTAGTTCTGGAGATGTAATTTGGACTGATGTGCAAAGATGGAGGCTTTGGTGTTGACTGCTTTGACTTTACTTTCAGGGCAAACAAAGCTCGGATAAAGTTAGCACCCAAGCACTCCAAAAGTCACGAGATGTAAAGGCCCGATTAGAAGAGGCTTTGCTGAGAGGTGAAGGAGCCAGAGGAGAAATGATGAAGCGCTGCAGGATACCAGCTGGTACGTCATACCCTTCTTCCCCCCAAGTCTTTTGAGAGGATCTCAAGAGGTTGTAGACATAAATGAGTTTGTTGGGCATTATCCATACTCCCCATTTTCATCCTTATGTTTTTTACCCACAGTCATTTCCCTTGCAGACCTTCCTTGGTTTTGCTGGGGATAAAAATACTATTTCAACTGAGCTTTTCTCAGGTGAAGAATATGAGGCCAACTAAGAAGTTTTAAGATGCTATGAGAAATTGTGTTAGTGTCTAATCAAGAGCCAAGAAATGGTGTCAAAACTATCAGTAAGAACAAATTGTTCATAGCAAAAATGTTGTTTCATTTAATAAATGGAGTAATTTGTGTTTTAGTCTTTGAAGACATTAAGCAAGCTAATGTTCTAAAACTCCTAGATGAAAATAATGAAGTGAAAAAAAGTTGAACGGTTTGAGTTCTGACAGACTACTACAGACATGTATCTCCTTTCAGTGAGCTATCAGGCTTCAGGTGTCCCCTTTAATCTTACTGATGCATGTTGCAATTGTAGGGAACGACAGATCAGTGGGGATAAATGAAAACCTGCGCTGGAGAAAGGAGCAGACTCACTGGCGGCAAGCAAATGAGAGACAAGATAAGTAAGTAATTTAATAAATATATATTGCTTTTATTAGACCCAAGCTGTATGTGTTTTTTACGTTTTGTTCTTTCTCCTGGGATGTTTTATCACAGTATCAACTGTTTCAATCTTTTCCCTCTTCTGTCAGAGAGAGAAATAGAGAATGTTTATGTAGCAGAAGTATCCAACTGTGCTATGACACAACAAAGAGATGACAAATACTTGAATGAGAAGTTTAAATAGTTATCTACTGTTAATAGCGGTGTGGTAAACACTAGTTATTGATACCAAAAACTCCACAGAGACTTGCTACAACATTTATTTTGGGTTTGCTATACAGTACTGTGGTGTAGATTTTGCCACATAAAAACAGTTGTGCTCGATTTGATGTGCTGTGTTAAAATTGAGAAGAGTTATTAGCAAGAGTAGAGTAAGACGATTCTGTAGTGAGTATGTTTCTTGTTACAGGTTTTAAGTTATGATGTCTTAGTACCTTTCACTTTATCAGCACTTCATGGTAGTAGACAAGTCAATGTCTAGGTTAATGGAAAACTGTATTTTCAGGAATGGTTTGTTACTAATAGCATTTTCATATGATATGTGCTAAGTTTCTCTAAGCGTGGAACTTTTTGCTTTTCCCTAAAGGGGGTGTGTTGTTTGTCCATAGATACTTGCTTGAATTTTGAATATCTAAACAGGCCACTGTGTGTCAGATAGAGACAGCCTCTCACCAGTCTAGCTGCTGTGAGCTCCCATGATATCCTTCAACATGTGTGAATTTGAACTGAGAACACTGGCTTGTGCTATGCAGCAACTACCTTGTTGTAGCCTGGCGCTCATCCATGATTATCACATACATTTTTTGAACACAAGATTGTTAATTTGGACTTTATCCCAACTTTAAAAAAGAATCCTTCCACCTTCTGTGTTAGATTGGAATAGGTATAGATCCCATGTGGATATTCTTATTTTGCCCTGAAAACAGCTTGCTTTCTCCCAGACAGTTTCATTGAAATCAGAATAGTCCTCAAGCAGCAAGTCTACAATATCTCTTTACAGTAGTTCAATTAAACCACTTAAAATAAAATTTCTGGTTACATAAGCAAAATTCTGCATACTGTCCAGCGTTTCTGGTTTACCCAGTGTTCGTTAACTGTGGTATGCAAGATCTTTTCTCTCATCTTTTTGAATCCCTTTAATGCACATGTCCCATTAGTAACGTGTTTGCAGGTAGTACGTAGCACAGCAGATTTGCACAGGTCACAACTCAGGCTCACTGAGCCTGCCTCACCTTGGGTCCAGCGTGGTTTGGGATTGTAATTGCAGTTATAAGCTATGTGTGGCGTCAGAGAAGATCCAGCAGCATGGTTAATGTACAAGGCTCAGCGGTTGCTGGAAATGGTTCAATGGTTCAATGTTTGCTTAATTTGTTCAGTTCTTATTCATATTTAGTGATCCCTGGCTTGATTATAGCACCAGCCTTTTGGCAGGCCCTTCTGTTCGTCATTGCTTTGAGATATTGTAATTAATAAAAATATCACTGCCCTGACTTTCTTTCCTAGCCTTCCCCAGAATTATCTGGTTGTGCCCCAAAGGATATCTTTTTACTTTTCTGGTTTTCTTTTTGGGTAAGACTGCACTGGAGAGAAATGGTACATGAATGTAGCAGAAAAGCCACAGATTTTGAGGTCAGAAGTGTGATTGTAAGTGTGTTGGTCCAGCCACAGAAATGCACCTTTGGCCCATGTCAGAGCAGCTCTAGTCTCAAGCTCTGGAGAGCAGCTTCTGGCCATGCAACAGCCATTTTCTGAGCAGTTCAGGAAAAACAACAAAGCATCCTTGATGTTTCTGGCATAGAAAGGCTCTGTGAAAATAGAGTTTTGTTAGGAGCTGCACCTATGCTTAGAGTATTCAGCTGCAAAGGAGCTTGTGTTCCAGACCTCGTCCTTTAGTCTCGACTAAGAGGGTATCATGCATTGCCTTAGCACCACCTTCTATGTTTTATAAATGTTTCAGTCCTCTCTTAAATGGCCTGGGGCACTGCTATATTGACCCTGCTGCTGCTGGACTTGCTGTCTTATGTTGTCAATGGTCTCAAGAATCATCGTTTTAAATTACCTACATTAAACACTGCTGCTATGGCATTGAAGCACCCTCCCCTTTGCCCAAGCCTGCTATTTTTATTTTTGTGTTAGATCACTTGCCTTTTATCCTATTTTGCGCTTTGGTGTCCTGCTACAGGCAATGCATTCAGAAATTACTGCATAGCTTATTGAACAATTGAGCATGATCCTGAGGGCAGAGTAGCCATTACACAGATTGCTATTAAGGAAGCAGAAGCATCTGTTTGAACTATCCAGAGTCCCCTTTGGGACTTGTGTTCTGCGATATCAGGTCTTCTCCTTTGATTCTGTAGTTCTTAAGAAATACCTCTGAACACTGTTTTAATTGTTTGCTCTTATGGGATCGTTCAGAATGGTCTTGTTTCTATTTTGGCTTTGTTTAAACAGCATGCCATCTAACTCTGGGGGTACTCTCTGCATGCTGTAATTAGAACTGTGTTTTGCAGGACAAAAGCTGAGCTAGATCAAGAAGCTCTGATCAGTGGAAACCTGGCAACTGAAGCTAACTTGATCATTCTCGATATGCAAGAGAACATCATCCAGGTATGAAATGGCAGAGCTAGCTTGGTACCAATCCCTGCTCCCCCAAAAGCCACTGGAAGCAAGATTAATTTCTCCTTTTGTTTCTTAGGCAGTGCAAAATGTTTTAATTAGATCTTCTGTAAACTTGTATAATCTTGAAGGGAAAAAATAAAAGATGAAGAATGAATCCAAAGATGAAATTGCTGCCAGCCTTACACTGTTGCCACAAACCCCTTTTACTGTAGGGCATTGCAGTACTGTGAATGAAAGGGAAATCTACCACCTTGTCTTCAGTAGATGTTGTTGAAAGCCATTTCTGCTGTCTTACTATGACACTTAAGTTTGGCGAGGATGAGGGAAGAAAAACCTTCATTTATGCTAGGAATGTATCTGAAGATATTAGTAATTTGGAACTGGACTGCTGGGTGGCCTTTGGTCATGCTTGCATGTATGATCCTCTGAGACAAAAGGATTTAACCTTGACTGCCACAGAATGCTCAGTGCTGGAAAGTATTTTGTGCTTACGTGGAGTCCTTCTGAAAAGAGATATGCCCTCTTAGAGCAATGTAATGTGCAGAACTTACTTACCTTCTAGGAGTGAGGTGCCGTAAAATTTCACAGGTCCTTTGACAGCAGTGGAACCATGATAGATAACTCTGCTTAGGCATGGTCTCATGGTTTAGGAGAGCACTCCAAATTGATGGTATGGGAATACTACTATTGGAGCAACATGCTTATTCATAGATAGCATGGAGAAAACTTTATTCTTGAAAACCTGTTGGTAGAAAAACATTTAGCTGCTAGACTCTTGAAGCTCTGGGCATGATTTTTGCATGACACCGCTCGTAGCACCTGCTCTCCTCACTATTGGTATGTGGGTTTGATCAGATCATACCAGTATGCCTATTTAGCCTATATACCCAAGAAATCAGAGCATGAGGAGGCAAGCGGAATGATGGTGCTTGCCCACAGCAGGATCACTTCGTGATCCAAGGTGCATGAAAGATTGGACAGAAGGTGGACAGAGCTTCTAGAGTCACTGCAGAAGCTGGCTGAGCTTAAAAACGTATTGGAGAGTCTGCGGATATTGATAAAAGTGTGGGACATTTTCCCCACCACTACAAAAGTGTTTTGAAATTCCTCTGAAGATGTTAACAAATGAAAAAATGGCAATCTCTAAACTCCATGTGTCTCATGGACAGGAAGGCAGAACTTATGTTCCTATGTGCCAGTTCATTGCTGAATTACTTCATGCAGTTATTGTTCTTCTCTTCCATGTGTAGGCAAGCTTTGCAGCAGAGTGCAGAGACAATCTTTTGGGAGGAGTTTTGAAGGTCCTGGTAAATTCTCTTGGCTGTGATCAGAGCACCACTTACCTGACTCATTGCTTTGCTACACTCAGAGCGCTCATTGCTAAGGTAGACTCTTGACATTTTCTGTTTTCATGCTTCCAATCAAATCATGCTTATTAGCACAGCGTTTCTAGAGCAGAACTGTGTGCATTCACTTAGACCTTTTCCTCTGGCATTCATTAAATGTTTTGCATATGTAAATACAAATGCCTATCTATAGGGGTGTTACACAGAGTCACACAGAATGTTAAGGGTTGGAAGGGACCTC